ATATATATATATATATATATATATATATATATATATATATATATGAATAAAGAACATCTTTAAGGTTGACAGCCCTTATTTTTAAGGAAATTTCCCTTTTTATCTTAACCGGAGATAATTTTGGACTGCTTTCAAAGGGAAGCAGCTTTGCAATGTTTTATGTACCCCAGAAGAAACCTTTCCAGATCCTACTGGTCAAAAGTTTCTTTCTTCCTCACAGTTTTATTCTCATTTAATAAATCCAATGAAATGAAAAATAAATATATATTGTACAATAAAGTTCACTCTAAAATTTAATATTTGTGGATAATTTAAAATCAAGCATTTATGAAGAATAGAGGAATGTATGTTAATTCCACTATGAGGAGAAACCCACCAGTTGCCACTTAATGGTTAAATCTTTTCTCAGTTTCATTCCTCCAGACTTTGTTAAGTAGAAAGCTACTTTATTGTAATCTGATAAATCAGAAGAAAAAGGGAGGAACTGAATGAAGCATCTTCCTGCAATTGTACCTCCTGTAACCATTTGGAAGTGGTCAGAGATTTCATATTTGCCTACTTGAAGCCCAGAGACGACTTGGCTGATGTTCATGTCTACCTCCATCTTACATGGATGGTGAGTCCTGACATATTTTCTTTGGCATTTCTTCTTTTTTCTGTTTAGTCTCTGCCTCAGTCTAAATGTGTGGAAAAATGCCTTCCTGGATTTGTCAAGAAGGCTCGAGAAGGAGAGCCAGTTTGCTGCTATGACTGCATTCCTTGTCCAGAGGGGACCATCTCCACTCAGGAAGGTGGGTGACACCACAGGGAAACTTTGATCAATATGCATGTTAAAGACACATGTAAGTTTGATTGTTTAGTTCTCCATTTTCATGATATCCAATTTCTTCCCTAAATGGGATTTATAAGAAAAATACTTTAAAGGATGAGGTAGAAAGAATGATGTTGTAGATTGCGTAGGAAATCTCTCTTTTATTTGGCAGTTTGTATGTGTCTTTCCACGTTTATCTTTTGTAGGAAAATCTGAATTCTTTGTAACTTGAGAAATGATTTTAGATCTGTTGAAAGAAAAATCTTCATCATGGTCCAGTCCAAGCTGGGAATAAACAAAATGGAGACTGCTTTAGAATGAAGGTTGGAGTTTTTTGAAGAGCAGAGCCAGACAGAAGCGTGGCTCTGGGAAAGCTGACTACATGTTGCTGGGAGTGGTGGGTTTTTATACCTTCTGGGGCTCTTTAGGTTGTTTCCTGTTCCTGTTTGAGGTTTGTATTTCCTGTGTCATGTACTTTGACCTGAGTCTGAGGGTGCCCTTTTGGTATTGGTGGGTTAATCCTTTATGTTTCCTCTGCTTAGAGTTTGGGTGGGGTATGTAGATTTTAGGGGTCCTTGTCTTCTTAATTTCATAGCTTCTAACTTTCTGGCCCCAACCTTCCTGAATGGATTATTCAGTGATGGGATTCAAATATAATAATAATAATAATAATAATAATAATAATAATAATAATAATAATAATAATAATAATAATAATAATAATAATAATAATAATAATAATAATAATAATAATAATAATAATAATAATAATAATAATAAAGTTGGAAGGGACCTTGGAGGTCTTCTAGTCCAACCCCCTGCTCAGGCAGGAACCCTACACCATTTCAGACAAATGGCTGTCCAGTCTCTTCTTAAAAACTTCCAGTGTTGGAGCATTTACCACTTCTGGAGGCAGGTTGTTCCACTGGTTAATTGTTCTAACTGTCAGGAAGTTTCTCCTTAGTTCCAGGTTGCTTCTCTCCTTGAAGAACGTGTTCTCTTTGTGGATCCCGCTTCCAGAAATCTGTTCTGGGCCTGGGCAACAAAAAATTAGTTACCTGTTCTGTCAAAGTGGTGCGAACCGGCTGAATCCCACCACTGGGATTATTACAACTGCATTTCTAAAAATCTGGTTTCTGCTGAGTTTTCTGGTTGGGGGGAGGGAGGGAGAAGTTTCTGCTTTTTAAAGATCTTATCCATTATTCCTTTGGAGAAATAAATTCCGCTTTTTTAATATTTCCCAAAATATTTCTTTTTCTGGATTCTTCCCACAATCCCCCCTTTGTGCCATAAGAGTGTGGATGACACACTTTTACTGGCACAAGTTTAAAAATTGATCTGTGAGGGAGACTTGATCGGCATTTCTATGGGGGCTCTAGGATGTGGGGAAACAAGGTTTAAGGAAGGGGAAGACACTAATAGAGGCATCTAAAAGTCAGAGCAAAGGTTCTGTTAGGTGGAAAATAAATTTATAGTGTCCAATATTCTGTGCCAATTCTTTTCAGATATTGTCTGTCACTTTGAGCTTCCAGTCAGGTTTGCACGTTCCTCATCACAGCCATGTTTGCCTCAGTATATAACCAATGGCTACCCATTTTCAAGGGATGCTTTTAGCCTTAGGTCTTAGTTCAGTTTGGGATGTCCAATTGAGGTTAGCCAGTGTGCATGTCAGGCTATTAAACTGCACACAGTGAGCCCTAGGACTCTCACTCTAAGTCCACCAGTGCAAAATATTCAAGGCTTGGGTTTTGGAGATCTCTTTCCTTCTACCTCCTCAGTGAGAGCACGTGAACAAAAAAAAGAACATAGTTCTGGTTCTGGAAGGAAAAAATAATACATACTGCATTGGGATTAAAAGGATCAGAAAAGCGGGGGATAGATCAATCTATTTAACATCCATAGATACCAATGTTGAATTCATTCTCTCTTTAAAATTGTTTGCCAAATCTAGAGAGTATGGAAATATATCTAACATCGGATGTTCTTGCTTGACAATATCGCTTCATCTTCTCATTTCTACAGGGTAAAAAGACTTTGGAGACACAGTTTTTGTTTTATGAATTCCTTTATGAATTAATTTTTCTTAAGATCAAGATGCTAACTACCATGCAACCAGCACACAGGGACCTGTTACCAGGAGATCCCCAGGGTTGTTGAAAGTGTCACATTTTAAGAGATTTTTAAAAAGGCCTCATAGTTTGGAGATATTGTGAATTTCTGTGTTCTAATGATTATTTTTGCCGAAATTCACCTTTCAAAACCTTACATGAGAAAGAACCACAGTGTCTGCAGGGCTTCCTCTCCTTGAGGATATCTGCTTGTCCCACCAGAGCAGATAATATTTGGCATGCAAAAAGGTCTGTTCCCTAAAAGATTCCCACTTGATGGGTCCTCAGATGCCTGCTTGTTCTGGTGCAGCTCCTGCCCCATTGGACCCACTCCCCCTTGAAATTCAATAGGCCCCCATCTTCTTAAGCCTCTGGAGACTTCAACCATTTGGAATAAAGTAAGGTCAGTGCAAGATAAGAATCTGGTGGATTACCTCAGAGAAGGGAGGTTGCGGCACCATTATTTCTTCTTTTATTTTTGTTTTGTTGTTCTTGGTTTTAATAGTTGTATATATTGGGGATTTTTTTTTTGCTGGAGTGTAAGAATATACCATTACTAAGACTTTCCTGTCTCTCAGTATCACCTAATCCAAAAGTTTTCTTGAAATTTGAAAGAGTATAAAACAAATGTTACTTTGTTTTCTCAGATACTGAGAAATGCACCAAGTGCCCAGATGATCAATATCCAACCAAGAACCAAATCCAATGTATCCCCAAAAGAACAATCTTCCTCTCCTATGAAGAATATCTGGGCATGAGCCTCATCTCCTTTGCCCTACTCTTGTCTCTAACCACAGGCCTTGTTTTCATCATATTCATTCAGTACCTAGAAACTCCCATCGTCAAAGCCAACAACCGGGACCTCTCCTTCATCCTCCTGATCTCCCTCCTGCTTTGCTTTTTGTCCTCCTTTCTCTTCATTGGCCGACCAAGAAAAGTCACCTGTCTTCTCCGACAAACAATGTTCAGCATTGTCTTCTCAGTAGCCGTGTCTTCTGTGTTGGCCAAAACTATCATGGTGGTGCTGGCCTTCCTGGCCTCAAAACCAGGGAACATAATGAGAAGATGGTTAGGGAAGACCTTGGCTAACTCCATCGTCCTTTCTTGTTTAGTTATCCAAATTCTCATCTGTGCCATTTGGTTGGGAGCTTCTCCACCATTCCCTGACTCTGATCTGCATTCCCAGCCTGGAGAGACCATTCTTCAATGCAACGAAGGCTCTGTCACCATGTTTTATGTTGTCCTTGGCTACATGGGTTTCCTTGCTGCCATTTGCTTCATGGTGGCTTTCCTGGCCAGAAACCTGCCTGGGACATTCAATGAAGCCAAACTGATCACCTTCAGCATGCTGGTCTTCTGCAGTGTCTGGGTCTCCTTCCTCCCCGCCTACCTGAGCACCAAAGGAAAATACATGGTGGCCATGCAGGTTTTCTCCATCTTGGTCTCCGGTGGTGGACTGTTGGGCTGCATCTTCTTCCCCAAGTGCTACATTATCATCCTGAGACCAGATCTAAACACTAAGGATGATCTAATGATAAAAGTAGGGAACTGATAATGTAATTGTTTCTTGGGTTCTTGAAATTTAATTATTGATTGCAATTGTTCTTGGTTTATATGCTTAGTTTGCCTGTTTGACTATTATGGTTATTTAAAATCCAATGAAATAAACAATTAGATTAATAAAATTAAAATCCAACATAATCATCAAATAATAAAACAAATTAATAATTAATATTTGTGTTTTTAAATTGTTGCTAGCCCTCCTTTTCCTAAGCACATAGGTTATCCAATATTTTGATTAAGCAGCCCTTTAAGAGAGGACACATATGAACCTTATCCTGAACTTTGGAATGCTTTAAGCTTGGTAGGTACCTTCAAAGTTTCTTAGGAGGTTCTCTTTCAATATAAAATTTTTATTGTTTTCCAAAAAAGAAAAAAACATCACAAGTATTACACAATATTATAATATATCCCACCCCCCTCCGGACTTCCCAAACCAAATCCCAGGCTAATATTCAAATATAGGTAAACAAATATTAATATCTCTAACTCCACAAACTCTATTTATAAACAATCCATCTCCTCCACATTAATAAAAAAATTATACATTTAAGTAATTCAAATACACCAAAGTCTATATCAATTCAGCAGGTATCACCAGTAGCTCTTCCTCTCTATTAA